CATTAGATCCCATTGGTGTTGTTCGTTGTAGTCCCAACAGTGCCATTACTTTCGCTTGGCTTGAACAAACTTCTGGTGATGGCAATTAAATAGAACACGTGGTACCATCGAAACCCGCTTTCACAACACCACCGATGATAAAATTTATTCTTACTGCACTTGCACAATTGTGGCTTGTCTTCTAAAACAATGATCACTGTTTTGAAGATATAGAGCAGAAATTAAGTTGTATTTTTCCCATTTTTTTAATAAAAACTAAAGAATGATTCGACGTTTTCTTTATAAATATTTAAAGAAATTTAAATTCGATGCATCACTAAAATTACTCTCTGGATACGTTTGTTAAGAATAGAATTTCTAACAGAGGACATTTCACGAGGATTACTAGATGAGAAATTCAATAGGCAACGTTTGATGATTTATTTCAAATGCCAAACAATGACATTCGTCATAATTTACAATTAAATATAAATAACCTAAGCAATAGCAATTTTTCATTTCAAATATAAATGTTCCATTGTCGTACACACGAACAACTAATACAATTGCATTAAGTTGGTACTGTACATTTTTTTTATTATTATTTTTGCATTATACAATATAAAAACTAGTCTAACACATATTTAAATTTAAGAATCATTTAATAATTTATTAAATTTTAAAATTTTTTGTGTAATTTAATTATAATTTAAATTTCTGCGAATAGTTATAAGTAGGGCCTATACTTTAACAAATTAATAGTTGATTAATGACAATGAAGATTTTGAATCGTGTGGAGGATTTGCCATAAAATTGCATCCAAAAATATAAGAAAAGTCAATTCACATAGATCAAAACTAGAGATTAGTGACGTCTTGTAAGTCGAAACTTCCTTCAAGAAATTTATACATCCGCTAATGCGAATAAGTTATAGGAGGTTGAGGTTCTCTTAAGCATTTTGGTATGATTACTTACTATAATTAGATCTAATATTATATTTTTAACAATCACTTTGCGATTAAAAATTATTGGTATAATAACGCTGGTGTCTTACATCAATTTAAAATCCATTGATAGACATTAATGAGTAAAGTAAAATATTAATATCCTAACTTCGAACATATCCTAAGAAATTGCTGGCACTTTCCAGCTACAGTAGACATTTAACAGTGTTTTATTTTTTTTTACCTTATCATTAAACTTTAAATATAAATGTAAATCAGAATTAATAGCGTTGACTAATAAAATAATCAGAATTAAAGTTGTTAAGAGATCGAAAGGTGTTTGAAGCAATTAAAAGACGAGAAAATCTAAAAGAAAGTATCGAAGGATGTAAGACATGGACGATCTATTTGGTTAGACTGAGATAGACGGGCCAACATTTCCTAATTGCCATCGACCCAAACGACGAAATTCATTTGGTGACTTGAGTCAGTCACGGATAACTGAGCCTGTTAAAGCTTATCTACCAACAACAGCTTCCTTTCTCAATGAATCCCTCTTTCTTTTTATCTCGACTTTTCTTTTCTCTCTCTTTACTCCTTACACTTTAATACATAATACAAGCAAGTTAACAAACCTCTTCATTTTAATTCTGTATAAAGATTAAAGTTACAAGTAGTACAGTACATAACATGAAAGAATTTTTAAACGAAGTTTAGAAAACTATTTTAATCAAGAAAATTCGGTATAAAGTTTGAAAAAATAAATAAATAAACTTAAATTTCTATCAAGATTAATTTTATTTCGTGCTTAGTAAATATGTGAATTAATGATTAAAATCTTCGGTGATTTCGTAAGTAAAAAAAAGTACTTAAAATACTTTTTATATATAAAAATTATAACGTTTTAATTCATTTTTAATCCTTAAAAAATTGCTTATAAATCAAGAAAAATAAATATATTTTTTTCTTTATTATAGGCCTATATNTACCTCCTTGTTTGCTCTCTTAGATATTACCTTCTCATCAATGTGGAGGGTGACCATAAGTATCACCAACACATTTTGAAATTTGTCCATCTTGAGTGTTACACATTATTTTTTACTTTTGACAACGATACCTTTGTACACGGAAGAGGCATTCCCATGGGAAATCTCTCCACAGGAATCTTATGTGAGCTAATCATCTGCTGTTTAAAAAAGGAGATACTGTTAGGGTACCTACATCTCATCATGATGTACATTAGCTACGTCAACAATGTTTTTATATTGTGGTGCAGAAAATCAAATCTGCATCTGTTTCTATATAAACTGAATAATAATTCTTATGGTCTCCTACTAAGCTTGGAGAAAGAGAGCTAATTTTTAGATGTATCCATCACTTGCAAAGTTGGCGAGATCTTCACCAATATTTACCATAAGCCCAAATATCAATTTGCTTTTATCCCACGCAGTTCATTCAGTCCACTCTTTCTCCATGAAACTCAGCATTCAGGTCATTAATATGGTGACTTACACCCATTGCACTAATATTATTGATACTTATATTGAACTGGATTATTTTGAGACAGGTGCCAAACATTGTGTTTCCTGCACTTTTGAAACAGCAAGAACTAAATCTTCACAACCGGTCTCTAAGAAGAAGGCTATGTTACACTATGTTTCCACATTAAGATGCAGTACACAAGGAACTGGCTAAAATGAACAATGTAAACCTTGTCTATAATCTGACAGTTTTTGAATTCTGCATAATGACAAGGATCCACTTAGCAACTCTAACTCCTTGGGTGTTTATGCCATTCCAATTGAGGGCCAGCATTTCAACACATAGGTAATACATCTGGGAGTTACTGCACACACTACCACAAAGAATTAAGGAACATAAATATGTCATTGAAAAAATCTTAACACTAACGTATTAGTGGCTTTTGCCTCTTAGCAGGACATAGATATGGGATGAGGCTAAGATCTCTAGACCCACCAGGAACCCTAACTCTGTCAGGTTCTTGGAGTTATTAGAAATTTTTAAAGCTAATAGAAAACACTTTTGTATCAATCACAGGGATGCTGACACATTATTGACAACATGGAAATCTATATACCAGCTTTAACTCGAGCTTCGGTCCTCTGATAATTGTTTATTGTTATTTTATTTTTGTACCATTTATATTTGCTTGTATTTATGTTTTTAAATTTTGATTATAATATGTATTTACAGTAGAGCATTGATTATCCGACCCACGATTAACCGTCACCTCAGTTAACCGACCGCTCTAGTCGACAAATTCAAATATCCACTATTGATGTGGCGCTACAATATTTGGCTATGTCTTGGCTACTTTAATAGTATTTTTATGTGTTTTAGCTGGCAACATGGCTTGACCATGAAAGGGAGCCAGTATTTAAATGATACTTAATTTTCTAATTTTTAATGATACAATAGTGACGATTATTATTTTAAAAAAAGTTTTGTTAGGCTTAACATCGATGAAAATTCAACGCAAATAGGTTCATAGCGATACATTAATATACTAATTACATGAGATATACTAATATACTATACTAATAATGTATTTTTTCATATTTTTCGGTTATCCATTTTTTCAGTTATCCAACCAACCCCAGTCCCCAATTGAGTCAGATAATCAATGCTCTACTGTATTTATTTTTATATCACTTGTATTACTTGTATTATATCACTTGAATGTTCTATTAATCTTGAAAGTTCTTCCTGTTCTTTTTAATTTAAATTATTTTCATTGCATTTAATGTTTTTAGAATGTTCTTTTTGTTTTTTTTGTTTCATTTAAATTTGATGTTGCAACTGAAGAAGTCCTATGGATGTAGGTCAAAAATAGTTTTGGTTGATTAAATATATTGTTGGAGTTACATAAGGTATATTGCTTCTTTTTTTTTTTTAATGTACTTATCTACATTCGGTATTAGGAAATTGTTCGCCTGTTATTTTAAAGTTTAGTACAAATGGACTTAATAAAATAATTTTATAAATGTATATAAGAAGTAGAATTTTGATTAAAAAAAATTGAATTTCGATATTACAACCACAAATATGAAAACAAGAAAAATTGAAGAACACCTGAACCTCTTGTCTTCTAGAATAATAAACAGTTAGAATATGTTTGATTTGACTCACAAAATGATATCCAGAAATAACAATGTTATCAATCTTAAGATGGAAATTTCGAAATAAAAAAAATAAAAAAAAAATCAAATTTCGGGGTTAAATCACTGAATAAAAATGTTGACTCTTAAGATGATTGATTTTACATTCTGTCATACAATTGTTACAAACATTGCCCTTAAGGTAAGCTTCTGTTTTGCTTTTCTTATTTATTTATTTATTTATTACTATTATTATTAATAATATTACTACTTAACTGAAGAAAAATAATCATCCCCCCTCTTCCTATTGTGTTTAGTTAATATAAACTTCTTACCTGTTTGGTGACAGAATCGATAAGTCTTACGTACAAATCTTGTTCGTTGCGAATTCCTACAAATATTAAACACTAATTAGTTATTTTCTAATTTTTGTTTGTATTCTGTTGACATTTAATTAAGATACTTTCGAAACATAAATGAGATTCTTCTTAAGAAAAAAAAAATAAAATAAAATTTAAATAAAATAAGATTCTTATCGATNAATAAGAATTTACAAGCTAACATATTTTCAACAGCATATATATAGCCTTAATACACGATTCTTCAATATTTAAACTAAACGATCCCTAAATTATAAAAGATTAATAATGGCATTAATATGCTTCGTGATATACTATATAAAAAGGAAACATTTTTTTTTTTTATGTATTTCACATGCGTGAGTGTTGATTATTTCTTTTCAATATAGTCAAATTCGCATGTAAAAGTGTTTCTACATGCGGCGGTCATACCTATTAAGAGAATTAAAGAAGCCTATTATCATAAGAGGCATGACAAAAGCTAGTGGGAGACATGCGGCATGTCAAACCGTGACACGTGTTGATCACGTGAAACATAAACCTAACATTGCAACGACACGTGCATGAAAGTAAATAGGTGTAAGAAATATCGTTCCTACCTATCAATGATGACCGGATCAGAAGGCGTTTCGTTCCTGTTTCCACAACTTTTTTTATCACAACACCGACTAGAAATAAAAATAAATCAACTAATTAATTATACAGAATATAAATTTAATAATAAAAAAAAATAATAGATTTTTAACGATTATATCGATTATAATAATAAGCACAGATTGTATATATGTTTACTACACAATCTATAGTGATTTGAATGAGATTAATTAGAATCGGTTATATTATAGTTGTGTGTTTGGTCATCATGAATCGCGTGTGTTCTGCAACATTCCCTCTCGGGAATAACTTACATCTTCCAATAATTGGCAAGTGCAGGGAACGTGCTGTTAATTGCAATTGGGACTAGTCCAAAATGTTACTAGGAAACTACTATACTCACCTGCACATTACTTCATGAGTTAACAATACTCTGCACATTTCGGGATTTTTATCTTGGCCTTCGTATACTATAGCCTATAAAAACATATTAATGTTTATATATTTTTAATACTTAAATTTACGAATTAAATATAGTTTATTTATAATAATAATAATAATAATAATAATAATATGTTTAATTTGTTAAGTATATGAAAGTGGATAAGATAAAATTCAGCTCCTTTTGAAAGTGCAGAATAGAAGATGTGAACTGGAAGCATATGGGTGATCGGACTGACAAGAGGTCAAAAGCAGGAGGGACTTGTGAAGGCAGTTCACTGCTATTCTTTGTGTCGTTGTAGGAGTGATATCCGGGCATTCACACTGCAACATCGAGAGGAGGTAAATGGCAGAGAAAATTAGCTTGGCTAGCCAGGTTTCTATCGAAAAAGGACGTCTCTCTATCTTTCTACATTCTACAATAAATGTTTTATTTTCTCAATATATCTAATTGAAAAAACTTTTAATCCTAATTAAATTGTCTTCCTTATCGGTTTGTCTTACCGATAAAAAAAAAAGAAAATAAGGACGTAAAATTCTTTAAATTTTTTTTTAAAAAAGTTTGTTTTATTTTAAATTATTATTATTTTAAATTTATGTATTAAAATATAAAATAATAATTCATAAACTGTATTATTTAAAANTTTGGTTAGTATGTCACATGATACTGTTTCCATGTCAACTCGGAGTTTTTATTCCACCAATTGCCACATGTCACGTGATGTTGTGATGTGCCCTACTTTGTCGAGTGTGATCCTATCGACCTATACGATTATTGTCCACACCCCTTGTAAAAGACGTGGCTGCTTTTCGAATCAGTTTTAAATATGTGACTGAAATATGCCTTTAAATAGCTATTTAGATAAATTATTTTTTGTTTTTTTTTGTTATATAACATTGTCTAATTTTAGTAATAAAATTAGATATACATATTACATATTTTAAATATGTTATAAGCATGTTTATAATATGAAATGACGAAGTTAAAATTGTATTTTCAATTAAAAAAAATTACGCTAAATGATTTATAGATGTTATAAAGGGGCCTGATTTACATTTATAACCCTTCAAAATTATAAGAGGCCTTTCTTTTCCACTAAATAATAGGGCCTATATGTAAAAGTCTAAGGCCTTAAAGCTTCATGCAACGAATCTTGTATACATTATGTGCAAATCCTATCTTGGGTTTGCGTGAATTCTTTTTTTAAATATAAATCCTAAAAATCTAAATAATCGTTAAAATAAAGATTATCTTTTAGTTTCTATGTCGATACAAGAAGATGATATTTTAAATTTTTCGAACTTTAAAAATTGATAAAAAATCTTATCATGTATATTTACATATTAGTTGAGAAAAGCATTGAAATAAATAGGATCAATGTAAAAAAAAGACAACTCAGATAAGGATAATATAGAGAGATTATAATGTAACATCAAGTAAACGTGTAAAGGAAAAGTGGAGAATAGGGATGATGGGTGCAATCGAAGGGATTTTAGGAGGCGTGCTCGACAATGGATTAAGAGAATCACCACTTGTGTGAATGTCGTGGGTGTAAATGTGGTCATTCTCTGGCCAAACTGACCATCACTACCAAGCTGACCAGACATGCTATAAAAGATTATATAGAACGTGTTCTTTTAATAAAAAAATTCTTTATAGAATTTACAGTAGTCTATATTATATAGTAAAATATATATATAATAATTTGTATTGGTTAATAGAGTGAATCTTCTTGAAGTTAATGGAGAGAAAGAGCGCCTTTTTCACACTAGGAACTCATCTAAAATATACTTAGATAAGACTTGGATTGCCCGTCTACATTTGCACCTTTAATAAACTTAAGTGTCCTGGATTTTAAACATAATATACTTGTTTTTACTACATTATCCAGTGGCCATTTTTTTCTTGTCTTTTACACAATTAACTGAGGCCGTAGCCTCAAATAAAAAGATAGAACCTCAGTGTTCTTTAGATGAGTTCATAGTATAAAAAAGGGATAAGAAAAAACTCACGCTTGAATTGTCTACATTAGTATTTTTAACGAACTGGATTTAAAAAAATTAAATTTAAGAGTGAAAGATCAAGCATCTTGTGTAAATATATAAAAGTTTTTCTACATATTTTTAGTTTATTTTACTTTTATTGTAATATACAATAAAAATTCTATTAAAATGTTTCTTATATATAAAATAAACGTTTTCAATATAATCTAATTGATCTCGTTTTATTATTAATTTCAAGATGATTGATTCTATAACATATAGCCTACTATAAAAAGTCTATATATTGTGTAGTATAACTTTTTTTTTATAGAATATTTTATTATATAAAAGAATAAACCTACTTATACCTCACTAGAAAATAGGAAAGTAAAAATTTTATATTTTTATATAACATATAATATAGAACATTTTATAGAATTTTTAACAAATAATAATGAATTTTCTTGAAGTCAATAGAAAGAAGGAAATAAATTGTATTGTATAATACTTTTTTTTAAATAAAAAGTATGAATACTTAAAGGTAATTATTATATAACAATTTTAATAAGTTAAAAAAAAAATTACGTGAAAAATTCAAAAGTAAATCTTTTCGGAGAA